CAGCCCCTCCCCAGCCCCGGGAACCTACACGACAGGCCCCGGGGCCGAGCCGTTCCCCCAAAGCCCCGGCCGTACCAGAAAACCGGGGCAGCCGTGAAAACACTAAGGAAGGGAGCCCACTGGCAGACTCATACAACACGGCTGGAGGAACAGGCCCAAATGCCCCCGTCACTACCCCGGAAGGGGAATTCCCCGAGACTGCCCGAGTCTCAACACCACCAAACACCCCGCCCTGAACCTACAGACGGTAAGGAACCGGATGCAGGCAGGAAGGGTGAACCAGGGGAAAGACAAGGGGGCGTGGATGGAACCGAAGCAACCAACACCCCCAAGTCCCAAAACGAACTACAACGGGGCAGCCCCGGGGTTCCCGGGGAGGAAACCCCGAGAACGTTGCCACCACCAAGGCTCAAGTGCAACGCCCCTGCTGCCCGCACCCGCTTTGTTAGCACAACTGGGTAACCGAGCCATAACGAGCAACCAAACTCGCAGGACACCGGGTCGAAGGTGTCACCGACCCCACAGGCAGCAGACGGAGGCAAAACAGAGAGTCACCCAGAGACAAAAGGTGAGAGCAACCCTCAAACTCGCTGGAAGCGAGGGAGGGGCTCTGGGGTCACATCCATCGGACCCGCGCGCCCCCAGGGGTTTCCCAGGGTCCCGAGCGTTTACTTTAAGAGGACTCGCGCTCAGGTAATCCCAGGCAGGGTACTGCTAACCGGCACCCAAGCTACCAAACAACTTTCTAAGAGCTGAACCCCCGGGACGTGTACACTCACGGGGACCTAGCAGGGGGTACCACCAGAAATACTCAGAACACAAGGGACACAAGGGGCAAGAACGAAGGCAGACCCCCCCCACCAGGTATATAAACAAAAGAAAAAGAAAACCCCGCAAGAGGACAGCGTACCCAAGCGAAACAGAGCCGGCCGCTATGATTGGTAAAGACAAGCTGCACAGTACCCCGCACCCCACCAGTGCAAACACTGCCCCTTACTCTAAGGCGAACAAGGGAGACAGAACACCCGAGCACACAAAGAGCGGCCGAAAACCAAGCAGTAAACGGCCAAGCAGGGGCAGGACCCAAGGAACTTGTGGAAGGTGGCCCCAAGCCCCAAGGGCAGTACTTACAGGGCACCTAGGGAAGGGAACCCTAGGCGCATGCAGCCCGAGTACTGAAGAATCACTCCCGGCTCACGCACCACCTAGAAAACAGACACCACACTCTAGGTACAGTGCTGAAACAACCACTGGAGCCGGAGCACATAACCATTGCCTATAGCATCAGCCGAAGAACTGATGGGTGGATAGCCGGCGTGGGAGGTCTGGGGCTCCCCCTTCCCCCTCCCGGGGAGGGGGGAGCTGCGCAGACAGCGGCGCGGTGACGTATGACGTCATACTAGTTTCCTTGTTTTCTGTTGAAGAGTTCTATTCACTAGTTCGGCTTAGGTAGCAATTTTCACCAGAATAGGGGTTTGTTTTGGAATGCTTACCTTTCTGGATGCTTGACCCGGTCGATGGCAGACATAGAATGCTTCCAACCACACGGGGGTTTCTATAGGCCATTGCTCCCCTTGCCTCTCTGAGGGGGCCAGGTTCTGGCTCGTGGTCCCCGGTAGGCCCTAGAACTCCATACACATGACTGATGCCAAAGTCTGACATTAGCATATCAGCCGGTAAAGCTCCGGGGAGCCGACGGGGCTCCCCCCAGAAAACTTTATTTTTTGAAAAACAGTGCCATCTGTTGGACGTAAGAGCAACACACACTAATCTCTGAAAGTTCTTCACCAATTGCTTTGAAATTTTGACACAACATTCCATTCGAATACACGAATGTTTTTACATACCTACTATATTGATGTCACACTTTTGACAGGTAAAAACATGCTTTTTTTTTTTAAACAGCGACATCTGTTGCACGTAATAGCAACATACGCTATATTAAATATGTTACGATTACATTTCAATGTTTCCGATTGCATTGATAAATTGAATTTTCATTGATTTTGATTTATTTTCATTTTGATTGAATTATTTTGTGTGACATTTCATTGGACTTGGGCTGTGTTGTTCACTATACTGTTCATTTTGTAAGCATCTTCTTCAGGTTATCTTGAGATGATTTCGGGGCTTAGTGTCCCTGTGGCATGGTCCTCGACCAGGCCTCTACCTCCAGGAAGCAGCCCGTGACAGCTGACCAACTCCCAGGTACCTATTTACTGCTATGTAACAGGGGCATCAGGGTGAAAGAAACTCTGCCCATTGTTTCTCGCCGGTGCCAGGGATCGAACCTGGGACCACAGGATCACGCGTCCAGTGTTCTGTTCGCTCAGCCTCAGGCTCCCTTATAAGTATAAGTATAGATGCTAGACCTGTGACAGGTAAAAACATTCTCTCTTTTAAGAATCAGCACCATTCGTTGCACTTAAGAGTATCACACGCTATACTGAATATGATACGATTCCATTTCGATGTTTCTGATTGCATTGATAAATTGAATTTATAGATTGATATATTTTCACTTTAATTTAATTATTTTGTGTGACATTGCATTGAAATTTAACTGTGTTGTTTACCATACTGCTCATTTCATGAGTTTACTTTATTATTTTTTCATTGTTTTTCAGTTCGTTTTTTTGTAACTAATTTTCTTACATTTCAGTAATGGGAACATCAGATCATTTGATGTTCCCAATTTTCTGATGGGAACATCAGATAATTTGGAATGCATCGGACGAGGGAGTGAGGAGTGATGGGAAGGACAAGGGGATGGGAGTGGAGGATGGTGGAGAGGACAAGGGAACATGGTGGGGGGGATGGGGGGGAGGGTAATGGTGGGGGGGATGGGAGATGGTGGGGAGATGAGGGGGGAATGGTAGGGAGGGGACAGTGGGGGATGGCGGGGAGGGGGAGGGAAGGGGGGGATGGGGGGGAACAAAAGGACAGGGAAGGGGGGGAAGGGGGAGGACAAAGGGACATGGGAGTGGGGAATGGTTAGGAGGATGAGGGGACGGTGGAGTGAGGAATGGAAGGGCGGACGAGGCGACCAGGGAGTGGGGGAATGGTTAGGAGGATGAGGGGACGGTGCAGTGGGGGATGCAGGGGAGGCCAAAGGGACGGGGGAGGGGGAGAAAGGTGGGGGAGGACGAGGGTTCGGGGAAGAAGGGAATCGTTGGGAGGATGAGGGGATGGTGGAATGGGGAATGGTGGGGAGGACGAGGGGACGGGAATGGGGGATAGTTCGGAGGACGAGGGGGACAGGGGACGGGGAGTTGGGGATGGTGGGGACAAGGGGACGGGAGAAAGGAGAAAGGTGAGAGGACAAGGGAACAGAGGAGTGGGGAATGATGGGGAGGAAGAGGGGACAGGGGAGGGGGGAAATGGTAGAGAGGACAAAGGGACTGGGAAGTGGGAGGTAGGGGGAGGATGAGGGAACAGTGGAGTGGGGAATGGTTAGGAGGATGAGGGGGCGGTGGAGTGGGGGATGGTGGGGAGGACAAGGGGATGGGGAAGTTGGGGATAGTTGGAAGGACGAGGGAATGGGGGAGGGAGGAATGATAGGGAGGACTGGTGAACAGGGGAAGGTTGCTGTGGCTCAGCAACGCAACAGCAACACATGGCTGGGTACAGCTAGTATATTAATATACACAATTTATATTGTATTAGTATGATATATATGAATATGCAATCAAATGACCTTAAATGTGGTCTAGGTACTATTAACTAAGTACAAGAGATTATATTCAATATGATAAACTTATATTATAAATTGAAGATAACTAAGTAAGCAATTGTTAACTTAATGTATATTATCAATTATATACAAATACATTCAATTTATATGAAGAGATTCAGTTAAGCCTGACTTGACTTTTCCTAGACAAGGGACACTCATGAGGGTGTGTACCTCACGAGTGTCAGGGGTCCTGAAAAAGCTTCAGTCGCTGCAATAATAATAAAACTTTCTGAAATACGAGGCTTTGCCTTACCCTGTAACGACAAACAGACTTATTGGATATATTAAGGTTATACAAGCATGCAATTGGCCAATTAACACACAATAACACTCAAACATACTTATGTCTGAGTGCCGGGTGCCTGTCTGACAAGTGGCCAGACTGGATAACTCTCTTATAGAGTTTAGGACGATATTTTATGTCACTGCTTCGCTGTATATTGTTCTGGTAGCGTTGCTAATTGATTATGTCCTTAATTGCGTTTGCAGTAGGCTAAGATAAGTGATGATGGTGGAGGCGGCGTCACAGGTGGGTGAGCTCCACTCTTATTTAGATAATGTACTAGGAATTTTTCCTTATAGATATTGTCCAGGTACTCCCCCAGTTCTAGAGAGTAATCACTGGTGATAAAGGTATGTTATTATGGTGTCATTTACAAATTAATGTTCATAAGGCACCACACGTTGTCACTATATGTAAACAAACACTTTTTGGCCTCGGGCTGTGGTGGGCGCTTTTCTTCCAGCCATCGTCCCCCATGCTCTTTCAATTAATATTGATTGATTATTTTTACTCTCTAGACATATGATTGAGATAAGATGTGATAATATAATTAGATATAAGATTTAAAGATTATAAGTAGTACTTGCTAGTACTATTGATTATTAAGGATTTGATTTAATCCTTTACTGGAAATCAATTGATGTTCCAATAGTTTTTTTAATTAAGATATTCTTCTCTGAGCTTCTAGATCCTTGAGAAATCATGTCCCAAATCACATAGACAACCAAGGGCCCTATTTTGTACGTGATCATAGTGGCAATGGCCTGTAATTATTCTAAGATGATTTTGATATGATTTTGTTATGCTTTTAGACATGATGTATAAATAATACATTTCTTAGATAATAATAGATATAGTTTGTAAAATTTCCCACAGCCAAGTTTTTTATCTCCTGAGACAAAGTGATTAAAACAAAATAGCAAAGGATGATAAGCAACTATGTTATTTTCCTGAGGTAAAGAGAGAATTAAGACTACGAACCTTGAAGACAATCTTGCGGTCCAGCTTGATGAGTGCCAGGTCGTGGTAGCTCTGTGGGAACAAGTACTCGGGATGCAAGATGGACTCCGCTACGCCAAAATCTTCGTGAGCTGCTCCGTCGTTGTCGTCATTATAGTCGTGTTCGCCGAGACGAACAACTTGAACTGTTCTGAAATGCAAAAAGAGATCTAGTTCCTTGGCAGTGACAATTTCCAGACCCTGTTGCCTGCCAGTTATTAGCTAAATTGTGTTCTTATGGTACAGTGTCTACGAGGATCCTTTATAAAAGCCCTTTCTTTCCCCTGTATAATGCCAGGTTTCTCTCGGTGCACCTGTATATACTTCCAAAACCCTTTCACTGCAGCTGTTTTCTCCCAAAATCCATTTCCTGCACCTGTATTCTCCCAAAATCCTCTAACTGCAACTGTTTTCTGCCAAAACCCTTTTGCTGAATCTAAATTTTCTAGAATTCTCTCGCTGCATCTGTATTCTCCCCAAATCCTTTTGCTGCACCTGTATTCTTCCAAAATTCTTTCACGGCATCTGTATTCTCCCAAAACCGTCTCACTGCATCTGTGTTCTCCCAAAACTCTTTTGATTCACCTGTATTCACCTTCCATAACGTTTTTGCTGCATCTGTATTCTCTCAAAATCCTCTGGCTGCATTTGTATTCTCCCAAAACCCTTCCATTTCATCTGTATTCTCCCAAAATCGTGTTGCTGCATCTATATTCTCCCAAAATCCTCCCGTTTCATCTGTATTCTCCCAAAATCCTCTCGCTGCATTTGTATTCTTCCAAAATCCTCTCGCATTTTTCCGAGAAAAATGGAAGAGGATTTTTCTCAAAATCCTCTTCCAAAATTGCATTTCTCCTTTGTAAACGCACATTAATGACATGATGTAAAAATGACATTGTTTGTGTAGGGCAGACGTTAATCTGTGTATGTATGTATCATGAATATTCACCAATAAATCGCTGAACTATATGTTTAACAGATCTCTAACTCCTGTCCATTGACAACAGAAAAAAATGTATATATGCTGCTTAGCATTGTAAATGTGTGGCCACGTCTGTGGAAGAAAATAATAATAATAATAATAATTTTTATTTAAAACATCCTTGGTTCAGTTGCCTAAAGCCACTATTACGCAAAGCGTTTCAGGCAGGAAAAACATTAATGACTAAAGCTTAAAACTAATGGGTAAAAAGAATAAAATGTGTTGAGAACAAATAAAAATAGAGGTAAAAGAGGGGGAACATTGTTGAAAAAGCAGCACAAATACAATTACAAATTATTACAGAAAATTACATTCAAACAGCGTTGATTTGGGAAAAAAACAAAACATATATGGGTTGACAACAGAGGGGTAAGGTAGGTCTGGGGTCACCACAGCTGACCTCACACACATCTTGGGTCAGGTCACCACCGCTGTTACGCCCTCTCTTAGCCCGTAACTCTGATTCATGTTTTTTGGCTGTAAAAAAATTATATTTATATGCTATTTTAGCGCCGAATTCGGACCCAGTGAGGTATTGAGTCAGTAGCGAACTGACCTCTTAAACTGTTGTCATAACAGAATAGCAATACTGTTCCTTTATGGCAACAATTTTAGGGATTAATAAAAGGGGACGACACCAGTGACTTAGACCATTTGGTCACCACTTGGTCCGGGAGACATCTCCCGTCACGCAGGGTGCAGCCGCACCTCCACAGATCTCCAGTATCATCTTTTGATACTGGTAATGGCTCGAAAGGGCCACCACTTACGGGCTATTCATGCCCGTGCCACCTCTTGGGTGGCTTAATAAGAGCAATCATCGACACCAGTTACTTAGTGGCTTGGGTGAGGCAGTGGAGAGCTGAGAGTACCCACTGGTCGTTGATCAACACTCCTGCACAGAACCACGTGTTGCTCCCACCATTCCTCTCCCCCAGCAGCGCCTGCCATCACGGATACATAAAAACATACGTAGTAAACACGTAAGCATGTGTACATACACACACACACACAGCAGGAAAGAATCTAGACTACTAATCATGGCAGACTTCAACCACAGGAAGATAGATTGGGAGAACTGAGACCCACATGGAGGACCCGACACTTAGAACTAAGCTGCTTGACGTGGCACATCCACAGTGATTACAGTGTATTGATCTTTGTGCACCTGGTAGAGCTAGGATTTATCTCCCCAAAAAAGAACTAGCAAATAAAAGGCTTGCGTACCGAAAGGAAAATTATAAGGAGATGAGAAGTTTTCTAAGGAATATACCATGGGACACAGAACTCAGAGCTAAGTCTGTACAAGACATGATGGACTATGTCACCCTAAAGTGTCAGGAGACAGTAAACAGGTTTATCCCGACCCAAAAGGAAAAATCCGAGAAGCAAAAGAAGAATCCATGGTTTAATAGGGCATGTATGAAAGCAAAGGAACTGAACAAAAGGGTATGGAGGAATTTCCGAAATAAAAGAACAGATAGCAGAGAGATACCCGAGAACCAGGAATGAGTATGTTAGTGTGAAGAAAAGCAGAGAAAAATTATGAAATTTATATAGCAAACAAAGCCAAGACCAAACCAAAGCTACTCCACAGTCACATCAGGAGGAAAACAACAGTGAAAGAACAGGTAATGAAACTTAGAACGGGCGAGGACAGGTATACAGAGAATGACGAAGAACTCAGAAGAGTGTGAAGAACTCAACAAGAGGTTCCAGGAGGTCTTCACAACTGAACGAGGTGAGGTCACTGCGCCAGGAGAGGTGGCAGTAAACCAGGCGGCCTTGGAAGGGTTCGAAATTAAAGAGATGCGGTCAAGAGACACCTGTTGGAACTGGATGTGAGAAAGGCTATTGGTCCAGATGGAATCTCACCATGGGTATTGAAAGAGTGTGCAAAGGCACTTTGCTTGCCACTCTCCGTAGTATATAGTAGGTCACTGGAGATGGGAGACCTACTAGATATATGGAAGACGGCTAATGTAGTTCCAATATACAAAAAGAATGACAGACAAGAGGCATTGAACTACAGGCCAGTGTCCTTAACTTGTATACCATGCAAGGTGATGGAGAAGCTCGTGAGAAAAAACCTAGTAACACATCTGGAGAGAAGGAACTTTGTGACAAATCTCCAACATGGGTTCAGGAAGGGTAAATCTTGCCTTACTACTTAATAAATCTAGCAAAAACGATGGAGTCAAGGGAGCGGGAGGAGGCATCTGAGAGGAAGCGGTCAAGAGAATCAGGGGAAAGGTGGGGACAGTAACAGGGAAGCGCACCTCATCAAGGGCAGCATCCAAGAGAGAATCGATGACCAAGAGAACCTCCATAGCTGAGACAGGGGACTCAATCTCCGAAATGGTAGGGGATGCAAGGATAGAGTTGGAGTCGGAAGGTGAGAAAGGGAGCAATGCTTTCTTATCTGCCAGGGAGGAAGAAGGAGAGGAGCCAGGCTTACGTTTCTGACGTAAAAAGACAGGTGTACCAGCAGCAATGTACTGGGAGGCAGAATCTATAGTCTCAACAGGAGAAGAACAGGAACGGTCAACATGAAGATTTCTCGAAGGGTGGATAGACAACGGCCTGGATTGACAGGTGGCGTGGAGGGCCAAAAGGCAGAGCATAGGGCCAAGAAGAAGAAGGTTTGGGGCGAGAAGGGAAAGAGGGCAAAGAAGACAGGGAAGATTGGGAAGGAAGGAAGAAAACACCGGACGGAGAACCAGGAGGAAGACCCTCTTGACCGCAAAGGAGCAGGTGAGGTGGTGGTTATGGTGTCCGGGTCCAAGTCCTGGAAACGGTTGTGAAACTTAGAAAGTGGGAGAGGCGAGGAGAAGAGTAATGCAACACACGAGCATAAGACATTTCAGAGAAAGAGGGAAGATGGCGTACTTGACGTCTCGCTTAAGGAACAGATAAATGATCACGATGTTTCACACTGAGGATGACTTCCTCAAATTTGTAGTACATACACGCATGGGAGAAAGGAGGATGGGCGTCATCCCAATTGATGCATTGAGGCTTGGGAAGAAGAGCACTTCATCTTAGAATGATCTGAGTCTCCACACAAGGGGCATAGAGGCACCACACTTGTGCATTCGATGGGACCGTGCCAACATTTCCAGCACCTGCTGCTGAGGCGAGGAGAGGGGATGTGCTCCTGAATGGAGCATCTGGTACCAGCAAGAATTACGGAAGGGACCTTCTATCAAAAGCAATCTTCACTATGCAAAGAGACTGAAGACGACGACCACGAGGGGGTCGAGGGAACGTATCAGTCTGGAGGATAGAATGGCCTTGGGCCTAAAGGATATGTTTAATATCCTCGTGGGAGTCTTTCAGTTCCCTGTCACGAGTCGCAACATGGTGCAGGAAAATAACTGCCAGTACTGGCATGTAACTGAGCATTTTTGGAGATCCGAACAGAGGTGTTTGCAATGCAGGACAACGAGGCTAAGTGGTCAGCTACTTCCTCACAGGGGGCAGCAACGACACACATGTACCAGTACGGGTGAGTTTAAAAGTGACAAAGGTATCTACCGAATCAACTAGGTGTTTATGGATGAATAAATCATCAGGACGTGTAGAATCGACATGGCCGAGATCAAAATACTTAGTCCATTTAGCAGGACCAAACAAAGCTGGAACGTATTAAAACCAGAAGGAATCGTGCGAGTGCGACCGAGGAGGTGACGGAGCTGAGCTCCCCCCAATAAAAGAGGGGTAAAAGGTGCAGTTGTTATAATGAGAGATGAAGCCACTCCAGGTGATGAGATGATCACCACTGGGGGCTTGGGGCTCAATCCTGCCACAGAGGTGGGATGGGAGCAGAGAGGCTTAGTTGAGAGAGTCAGAAGCAGCTTGGTCTGGGCCCAATGTAGCGGGGGCAACAGAGCCCGGCCTTCCATTACAGTCCGACTCAGTGGCCTGGTTGCCCACCCCACGCATTTGAAAAGTTAAAAGAGGATCAGATATCAGCATCTAAATGAACAGATTAAAATTTCATCCACGAATAAGCCCCCATACCCACCATGGAGCCACAATTAGAAGATAGGACACCCAACAAGATGGGGCCCCCAGGGGGTGCATGGTGGGTATATGTCCTGTAATCGGTCTTAGGAACTTTAAGAACCGTTAGTCCATCGAGATCAGGTTCAACAACGAAGGCAAGGATTGACAACAAAAGCATTTCCTCGCTTGAAACGTCGGATGCCACAGTTCTATGGGGTGAGAGAGTGTGCCTCCCCCAAACACCCGGGCGTCAAAACAGATGAAGACATCTGAAAGAACAATCAAGAATAGCAAAAAGTCGGCGGGAAATAACCATCAGAAAGAAGATGTGGGAAAGGAAAACTGAAACAGAAGGAAAAGCCACCGAGCACAATTAGTGAAGACGGCATCCGGAGCATTAGGCTTCAAAAGGACAGAGTATTGAAGTAAATGAGTCTGATACCAGTTATAGGAATGTGTCTTGTGTTCTTGTAAGAGAATGTGTTAGTTAATTATAGTAATAATTATAATAATAATAATATTATACACAGGGAGTAATTACACTAATGTGACTACATCAATATAAAAATCCGTAGGAGCCGTGATGAGGGTTCGAACCTATGAGCTGGGTGTTCCAGGCACACGCTCTAGTCAACTATGCCACAATATGGTGAAAAAAGGATTGCAACCTGCGGAGCCAGAGTGCATGGAGGAGGGGGGGCGTATTGTGTGAAACTCTAGTTCAGCTTCAGTTGAAACTTTAGGAATCATAGAGGGTGCAGTAGTACCCCAGGTTCCAATCCTTTTAACATGTGAATTTTAACATCCTCAGCGAAGGAATTCTTGCTACTTCATAAAATGTTAAACTGCCGGCTTTTTTGTCCTCGGTGAGGCCACTAGAGTGTTAGTGGCCGTCATGTAAATTTCTTTAGTTAATTTTAGTATTATTACTTACAATTAAATAAAATATATACGTGATTATGTTACATTTCATGAAGAAAATAAAGTGAGATAAAGTACCATCCAGGGCCAAGAGTTCTTGGTGGCCCTGACGCCGCCCGTCACCATCCGTGAGGCGGTGTCACGCTCCAAGGCCGCCGCCGCCGCTTCCTTGGGAGACTGACGCTGTACAAGTGACCGAGGGGTCAAATGTACGGCCAGTGCGTCCTGAGGTACCCCGGCGCGCCCTGGAGGCTTCTGGGCTCTGGTCACTATGCCACCCCCGGGAGCCTCACTACTCTCAGATTCTGGCCGCAGGATGGAAGCTTGTGCAAACGATCTCAGTAATAAGTTGAAGGTTTGCTGCCTGTTTTGTCCACACTCTGGAATGTTGTGGAGTAGTAGTCACAGGGTATCCATAGTGTGGGTTGTTGTCTAGCTTCTATAGGATTCTGAAGTTATTACAAATAATGAGGAGTGGTTAAGAACTAATTATTTTAATAGACCAATGATGGGATCACTCACGAAAGTTGACTATGGGTGGAGAGATGTCCTCTGTGGCCGCCGGTTGATCGTCTGCAAATTTATAAATTATTACTGACTAGCAGTACCTGGTGTTACGATATATCGTATCGTGTTATGTCATCGCATAAAGACACGGTATATAATAGAAATACGTTCATTATTACAGGAAGAACGAGGTTAACAACCGTGGAGGTCGTTAACGGTCAGCACGGTATGGCTCGTCCGGTGGCGGGAATTTGTTAGCCAATCAGAGCCACCGGGCGAGGTAACGTGTGCTGGCCGGAGCATGTGGAAAGACAGACATCTACTTCCCTCCATTGAGTCAACAGGCTGTCGTCGCGTTTTGATGTGTGACCAACGGACCCAACTGTTAAGTGTGCTCCACCCTCACGAAGGAAGAGGACCTCGAAGCATGGTCGACGTTCTTGAAAGTTATGGAAGATAACAGCTTTGAGATTTAGAGGTCGGCGTGGAGGTAACGCGCTGATTTTCCGAATAGTGGTCCAAAATTACGGACAAGTGAATTTATAAGTGGAAAGAACAATCGGATAAGAGACGACCATTTCATGGTCGCAGTGTCTCTCTCTCTCTCTCTCTATATATATATATATATATATATATATATATATATATATATATATATATATATATATATATGTGTGTGTAATATATTGTATATAAGGTGATTAGAGATATATCCATGATGAAGTTTTATACCATCTTATTTTCTTGTCCTTTGTCAGACCTCAGCACAAAGTGTATCGCACCTGACAACAGGTCCGGCTGACACCTGTTCAGATTCATGTACTTCGTTGTAGTACAACGAAGCATAGGATAAACATTCAGAATAAACCTAAATTAAATGTGTTGGGTTGTCAACAGTTCGATCCCAACACCGGCCACGCGTTGCTGACTCACAGCAACCTCACCTGTCCCCCCCCCCATCTTCCCCACCATTCCCCCCCCCTCCCCCATTCCCTCGTTCTCCCAACCATTCCATAGTCACCTCATCCTCCCCACCATTTCCCCATCACCTCGTCCTCCTCACCATCTCCTCGTCCTCCCCACCATTCCCCACTCCCTTCCACTTGTTGACCGCCCGTACAGGGTGCAAGTATTTCCTTACTCTTTCCTTTCTTACTTTCCTTTCTCTCAGTTTAACGAGACTGTCCTTGTTCACCTTGTCTATTTTCCTCAGCACCTTGTGTTTTATGATCATATCTTCTGTTAATTATGTCTACCAAGGTTGTGGGGTCTGACATTAATCTTGTTACAAACCTCTCTACTTTTTTCTTTTAGTGTTTTTGCTTCATAAGGTATGGATTCCAGGTCAATGCTGCATATTTCACTATTGGTCTAACAAAGGCTATGTAGATTGCAATGAATGTGTCATAATTTAGGTTTCTAGACGACAATGTAACGTTTACCAGCGTCCCATATGCTGCCGATGTCACCCTGCCGGTGTGTGCCTCTGGTGTCAGCATAGCAATTACATCTGTCCCAGATCTGTTTCTCTCTCTACAATTCCTGTAGTTGCCTTCCATTTATGACGTAGACACCTTCTGGCCTGAACATATCGTTGTCCATTGGTTAAGGCGAGTCTGGGATTGCCCAGGATGCTGCTTCAATCACAGTCATGCTCGAAAGATTTTCCCATAGACATATGTTATTGTGATTTTAATGTGCACTTGAGGAGTGTGTTTGGTGGAGAGTTCCATTACCTACACCACAGTGCACGCGGTTTGCATGTAAAACGTCAGCATATTGTAGTCAAGGGGTTAAGGCGCGCGCCAGAGATCACCCAGGACGCTGGTTCATTTCCAGTCCCGCTCCAAAGAGCTTCATGGATCCCACCTGTTACATTCCTCCTCCTCGAGACCTTTCCTTTGACTGTAACTCTTCTGTTCTTCCAAATTATCCCAGTATACTCCATCTTGTACGTGCACCAGTCTTTCGTGAGGAACAGTATCAAATGGTTTCTGACTGTCGAGGAAAATACAATCTACCCTCATTTATTTTTCCTATGGTATTTCAACAACTTTCTGCCCTAGAACTCGATCAAGTTTGTTAGGCATGGATTTCCTATTCAATGTACGTTCTGTTCTTTTGTTGCCAAGTTCATCATCTCCAGGGTGTTTCACTGTTCTCAACCTGATCACTCTCTCCAGCACTTTGCATATAATACTTATCAGTGACACAGGTTTGAAATATAATGCCTCCTCTCTTTCCCTTTTTTTGAATATTGGGACTCCTGTATTGAGCGTTTTATTGAAAACATCAGTCAGCAGTGATAAAGTACCTCTTCAGCCTCCTGCAGCAGCCATTTTGTTGCATCTAGTTCGTCCATGTATTTTTTAATCTCTTCCTCAGTGACAACTGTGTCATCCAGTGTTTCCGCTGGCCTTTAGGTCATTATTCTGCGACAACACGTGCACCAGCACACTAGGTGACAGGTCACGCTACACCTCAGGCCAGGTGTCCCGGGACACTGCAGGGGTTTCCACCGACGTTGTCACTGGTGGTACAGATGCATGCTGGGATTACCCCGGGGCTCTCCTCGCCCACAGGTGATGCTTCTAGCTTCTTTATCTTCACCAGAATCTCACTCACTTGTTTTCATCTTCATCACTCTCACTTGTCTTCATCCTCATCACGTGTCCTGGTGCTTTTTTCAAGTTGGATCTTAAAATTCAGCAGTGCTTTGGCATTTACGGCTTCGGCGGGTAGGCGGTTCCATGGGTTCTTAACCCTTTGGTTGATAAAAGCATCTCCTGCGTCCCATCCCCAATCCTTATCCTGATCCCTTCCAAGTGCGATATAGTCAAATTGGCTTGGCGTTTTCCCTTGATAATTCCATCCCTTCCCGTCCTGTTTTCTGTCACACATTGTGGCATATTGAGCTTGAAACAGTCGTTCCTAAAAAGCCAGCTTAGTTGATACTGCTACGCCTCACATGCGTGGGGTCCGCGGTTCACCAGTCCAGGTGAATGGACCGTTGTTCCTTGTTTGTGTTACAACTGGGGCCAGATTCACGAAGCAGTTACGTAAGTACTTACGAACGTGTACATCTTTCCTCAATCTTTGACGGCTTTGGTTACATTTATTAAAACATTTTACAAGCATGAAAACTCCCATTCAACTGTTATTGTTATAAACAGCCTCCTGGTGCTTCGGAGCTCTTTAACTGTTTAATTACAAAACCGTTAAGGATTGAGGAAAGATGTATAGGTTCGTAAGTGCTTGCGTTACTGTTTCGTGAATCTGCCCATCTTTTGAAGAACTTGTCTGGATCAACATCATCTAAATTGTTCGGTATTTTATAAGTTTCAATGAGGTCCGCCCTGTCATGTCTGGCTTACAATGTTGTTAGTCCTGTGAACCTCAACCATTCCAGGTATGAGAGGTGACACATTTCTGGAATGATTGTTGTTGTCTGGTATATAAGCTGGTGTATATAACGTTCTGTTTACCCACCACCTAGAGCTGTGTGTGTGTGGAATTCTCCACACACACACACACACACACACACACCCTGAGTGAACATGAACACCTGCCTCCTACAGCAGGACAGCAGACAACTAGAAACCTTCCACGGTGGTTACAGAATACGGGAAGGATGAGACGGAAGGTCCTCAGCACGCTTGGGCAGCTGCGAATTTCGACACACCGGCCCCGGCCTCCTGTACGAGGCGTGCAGCTGCCTGCCAACGGTCAGAAACATTTGGTTAGTTGTATTAGTTCAGGTAAACATGCACGGACACACACACACTCACACACTGTGTGCAATGTATATATGCTGGTTAGCATTGTAAATGTGTGGCCACGTCTGTGGTAGAAAAATAATAAAAAAAAACTGTCAACAGGACAGAGAAGGTTGCAGTCAGAAAGGAAGTGTAACACTGAAGGAAAATAACAAGTTGGGTCCTGCAGGATTCATTACTTAGACCACTATATTATTTATATATATAAGTGGCCCCACGGAGAAGGTATTATCGAATAAAAATCTTTGCAAATGATGTAAAATAGGCAAGAAGTGAAAGAACTGAAAATGAGTATGCATGACAGATTTACGAGTTTCTCCAGGTTGGCAACCCAACCACTTGGGCTGGACGGTAGAGCGACGGTCTTTCTTCATGCAGGTCCCCGTTCAATCCCCGACCGTCCAAGTGGATGGGCACTATATTTCATCCCCCGCCCCAACCCATAACTTATCCTAATCCCTTCTCAGTGCTATATAGTCGAGGTAGCTTGGCGCTCCCTCCTGATAGTTCCTTTCCTTTCCAGGTTGGTATATTAGATGCAAATAGTCACACGACTTCCTCTCACAATAAGAGATACTCTTTATTTGCTCACAACAGTAAGAACATTTTTACTTTATTCTTCACCTGAAAAGAATACATGCCTATTCGAATCAGTAATGTAAATGATAAAATGTAAGCTGGAGTCCTAAATGCCATGTTGGAATAACATTAAAATATTGAGCTAGCAGGCTAGTATAGTGGAACTAATAATTGCAATTATTGAGAGGTAATACAGCTGATGAGCCTTGGTCACGAGCGCCCACTCACTGCAGCTCTTCCTTAGTCACTAACCAGGCAGTAATGTCACGGAGGCGCTGACTTTTTAATCCGACTTTACATAGTTTTTACAGATTACTTAATGTGTCCCTCTTAAATATCTCCAGCAAGCCAATCCTTGGGAGTGTGACTTTTTATATTATTGTTATGCGCTATATATAAACAGAACACATGGTCCCTGATCCAATACTCATTTTCTATCAATCATATTTACTAGGGAGACTTGTGTTTGGAGTATATCCATACACTTGCGTAAACTCGCAAGGAATTTTTAACAAACAGAACACTTCCCCATATGAAGTGTCCATGGACCATGGAGTGCTGCCCATAGTGACGTTACTAGGGGCCAGAGTGCTGCCCATAGTGACGTTACTAGGGGCCAGAGTGCTGCCCATAGTGACGTTACTACGGGCCAGAGTGCTGCCCATAGTGACGTTACTATGGGCCAGAGTGCTGCCCATAGTGACGTTACTAGGGGCCAGAGTGCTGCCCATAGTGACGTTACTACGGGTCAGAGTGCTGTCTTCAGCGATGTTACCTTGAGGCAGAGCCCTGGCCACAGTGACTTTACCTTGAGCCAGAGCGCTGGCCACAGTGGCCAACGAAACACTGGCCAGCAGCAGCAGCAGAGTAGATGACGTTGGACCCTTCATGTTGGCACGTCCTTCCTTGTCAGAGTCCGCCAAGACACTGAGACCCCCATACCTGTTGACGACGCTTTAGTGTCTTCAACTTGAGTTGCCTTCTTGTGAATTCTTTGTATAATTATGACAGAGGTAGACGCTGCTGCTGCTGCCACTCTTATGTTCACTTTGTGTTCTATATTTGCGCAGCAATTTTTATAAAATATTGTATATAAAGTTCATAAAAGTTACACTTGAGTGGTAACCCCGGGTGGAAGGAGGCGGCGGCGACACCACTCTTCAGCTGGACATTAATGGCGCCTTAACATAATCACATTATTATGATAATAATACATCGGAAATTATAATATTAATAACAAAAATAATTTTAATAATGAGATCATAATTTATTTGTAATATATGAATATCATAAATTATTTTTTTATTTACACTTGTTATTGAGGCATTAAACACGCTCTCTCTCTCTCTCTCTCTCTGAGAGAGGTCATACATCAATGATGTATGATATTTATCTGTCTTATAATGCAAAATATTTATTGAAAGGTGACGCTCAGTACTGAGATAAATCTTCTGGGCAGGAGAGGTCAAACGGTCAAACGGTCAAACGACCACCAGTTAATTACCTCCAGAGTGGTAGAGTAGAGAGGGAGAGCCAGGATGGGGGTGGGAGGGGTTATACACACACTCCCGGCTGTTGCCTCTATCACTTTTATGTTACGAATGACGGTTATCTTACTTAAGAATTGTTAAGATCTGCTGGGATAGCTAGGGTTGGTGAGGATAGCAAGGGTTGGTGAGGATAGCTAGGGTTGGAGTGGGATGCTGCTATTGCTGCTAGTTAGCGGTGATTGGTTTATAGTAATTAGTGAATGCTGGTTTACAAGATGTACAGTGGATGCTGATTGTAGTAGTGGTAGATGACAGAGGTAGATGCTGCTGCTAGTTGGGATGATGGTTGATACTACTGCTGCTGGTAGTGGTAGTAGAAGTAGTAGTACGTATTTACAGCTAGTGGAGGAAAGTCAGTGAGTAGTCGTAGTCATAGTAGCAACCTACTGTTGTGTGTGTGTGTACTCATCTATTTGTGCTTGCGGGGGTTGAGCTTTGGCTCTTTGGTCCCGCCTCTCAATTGTCAATCAACTGGTGTACAGATTCGTGTGTGTTATTACCAGCTGATTAATTGACAGTTGAGAGGTGGGCCGAAAGAGCAGAGCTCAACCCCCGCAAACACAACTAGGTGAATACAGTCTGGTGGACGTTTTGTACTGCCTCTATATTTAGGGTTTAAATCTGAACAAATCATAGCTTTTTATACTGGTGCTTTCATGTGGTTAGGAGTGCACCTGGAGCTGCCGTGATGTACAGACGTGTCGTCCGGCCTCTGGTAGTTTGGGGTGTTTGCCGTTTTTCGTCGCCAGGGGGTGTGGGTGTCCCCACCCTCCCTGCAGTGGCTGGTGGTGACGTCGCTCGCTTGCGATGGGGGTCCCTCTCCCTCCTGTGTTGAGAGTAAACTCCGTGGGACTGGAGTTTACGGGCCGTGTTGGCTATCCTTTAGTTGAGCTTGTCATGTGTGACATGCTCCGTGTCCCGGTTGACGACGTCTACGGGATTGAGCTGGTTATTATCAAGTTGGCGGGGGAGGAGGTGTATCGTGCTTTCCTCCGCCGTTACGAGGGGCGTTCCTTGTCGCTGCCGGATGGTGCCGGCTCTGTGATTATTACAGACCGTAGTGGTGTCCTGACCTACGTGAGTGTGCACGGGGCGCCCTTGGAGTTTCCCGAACAACTACTCCGGCGTTACTTCCAGCAGTTTGGCGCGCTCATCAGTGTGCGGGTGCACACGCTATCCTCAGGGAGGTATAAGGGTATGCGGACGAACATTCGTACCCTTGGGATGCGCCTGAGGTCTGACATCCCTTCTTCGGTCCGGCTTCTGGGGTACTACGTCCGGGTTTACTATGCCCGGCAACCCCGTACCTGCTTTCGGTGTGGCCTGTTGGGTGCCGGGTGCTCGGAGGCTGCTGTCGCTCCTGTGAACCTGTTCCAGGAGCAGGATTTCCCGCCGCTCCCAGTTGGGCTGGATTCCGTGGGCGAGGATGTTGACGTCCCGTTGGCTGCTGTGGCTCCCCCTGCGTCGCCCGGCAGACCTCCTGGTGGTGCGGCTCCTCCTCCGGGTGTTCCGGTGCCGTCGGCTGATCTTCCTGCCCCTGTCGCTGTCACAGCTGCTCCCGGGGGTCTTCCAGATGGTCTCTGCGTGTCGTCGACGTCTTCGTCTTCCTCGTCTCCTGCTGCTGCATCTGGCCCTGCGCCTTCGCCGGGTGTTTCGGCTGAGCTGGGTGCCGGGGGGCTACGGAGCGTCCTGTTGTGCGCCGCCCGGTTCCCCCTGCGGTTGAGGCTGCTGCCGTCATGCGACGGGCATCGGTTCGCACGGCTTGTGAAGCCCGTGGTTCTGGGTCAGCCTCTGGCTCTGAGGATGTGCGGCCGGAGCCCAAACGGTCCCGGCGATCTTCTACTGCTTGGGCTGATGTGGGGGATTTCGACGCCGGTGGATCTTCAGGCGGTGATGTGGTAGATCGCGAAGCACCCTGATCCATGTCGATGGTGGTTGCTGACGTCCATGTGCCTGCTGATGACGACGATTGTGCATATGATTCACCTCATGTTCTTTCTTCTGCAGAAGGTTCTCCGCAGTGGGGGGTGGTCGCTCCTACGGTCCTAGCTTTGAAAAGAGCAAGATTTTCATTATCTTTCTTGGTGACAGGTGTGTATGATACTTGAATGGTGGGGTACAGATGAAGAGGAATATCAGAGACAGGTAGATTGCACTTAAAAGGAATGTTGAGTTTAATGAGATTGTAGGCATTGTTGCTCAGCCATTTATCATAAAAGGAGTTGGTATGTTGGCACGAGTCAATAGGGTGTTAACAGCACTAAATAATTTGTCTCTGAGCAATGCAGGAGATGTAGGGTCTCTCATGACTTTAAGGCAAAAGGTCGTGTCGACCTGCACGATTCTCTCTGGTATGGTTGGAAGCTTCAGTTCTTCCCTCATGTTGATGATTCTTGTGCATCTTGGGGCACCAAGAATTATCCTCATGGCTTCATTCTGTACTACTCCAAGTTTGTCCAACACAGAGGAGGGGAAATTAATTAAGTGCAAAACATTTTAATCAACGAGAGATCTAACAAACATCATATAGAATAGTCTAGCATATTTAATATTGATACCAATATTCTTACCAGTAAGTGTTAGAGTAAATGTTTCCTAGAGTTGTTAAGCACTGATACTGCTCAACAGCTCTAGGAACACAACCAATAATTCAGACTTGACTTCATAAAAATCGCCTGGGAGGGTCTCTCTTTAATTGCCAATATTTCTTAAAGAATTTCACTTGGGCCGACCCTGACTAGCCTATAACAAACCTCTGCCCAGCATGATTCATCTTGGAACGTTGAGTGAGGCTAGATGCAAGCGTTTGGTCTCCATCCTCAGACAGACAGACAGACAGACAGACAGACATTCTATTTTATAGATACAGATAAGTGACATCAAATAATAATAAATGGTGATTTCTGGATCAATATATATTTTATCTAACAAAATGTAGTATAAACTTGGAGTAAGTTTGGAAGGAACAAATCACTTGGTTCAATAAAAAAAAAACTCAACATTATAAGACGCTGCAACTCTAGGAAAGTTTCGAGAGATGAATCAAGGGATGGAAACCCAAGAAGGGGTTGAGGGGGCGCTGATCTCAGGTACCCCCTCACAAAGAGGGGGGGGGCGGGAGGCTGGGTTGTTATCCTCCCCAGCACTCCACCCTCACCACTCCACCCACACCTCCTCCCCAGCACTCCACCCTGTTCCCAGGACGCTAGCTACGGACCATGGTCTACATATTGTGCTGTAGAAGAAGTCCCAGGGGTCACATGGTGTCATGGTGTATAGTTGTAGGCATCCATCAGTTTCAGGAGACTATGGAGTTGCGCTCTGGTGGTCGGTCTGGAGTGGAGTCTCCAGGGCGCCCCTTACACAGGGCACAAAGCTAGGGGAGGACCTCCGGATCTGTGGCTCCGGAGGTCCAGACCTAGCACTGGAAGACTCATGATGGTTTACAGATTGTACAGATTCAGCAGTCCCCGTGGTGTAGTGGTTAAAACACTGGCCTGGCGTTTCGCGAGCTCTCTGTCCTGGGTTCGTATCCTGGTCGGGGAGGATTTACTGGGCGCCAATCCTTAACTGTAGCCTCTGTTTACCCAACAGTAAATTGGGTACCTGGTTGTTAAACGATTTGGCGGGTAGTGTTCCGGGGAACATAGGATTAAGGTCTTGCCCGAAACGCTATGCGTGCTAGTGGCTGTACAAGAATGTAAACTCATATATATATTATTAAAAAAATGGAAAAAAATGTGATGCTTCTTAAACCATACTGTCGATCATATATTAGCCGATGATAAACAATTATATCATTTGTTTTACGATTAATGATTCTAGGATTTTGCCAGTATGGAGAGCAGTGACACTACTCTGTAGTTATCAACCACTGAGCGGCTCTTATTTATGTGTACTGGAACAACATCTGCCTTCTTCCATAAGGAGGGGGGACCTTCCTTGAGCCAGGCACAGTTGGAAGAGGCAGGTGAGAGGTGGAGTCAACAGGTCACCACAGCTGCGTAGTAGTCGTGGACTGACCTCGTCTGGCCCCACAGCTTTGTTGTGTATGGCGTTTTAAGGAGATGGAAAACTTCAGCCTGCTGTATAACCACTTCAGTCATCCTAGACACAGTGCTTGGGGCAAGATGTGGAGGCTGACGTTCAGGATAAGGGACCTGCATCTTGGCAGCAAAGTGGTTTGCCAATAGACTAGCCTTCTCCGGATTGCTGGTTGCAACAGTTCAATCCTCTCGGTTTAGAGGCGGGATTGTGTCTTCAGATGAGTATCCCTTCCAATCCTTCACCAGGGATCACCAGATCCCAACCCGTTCTCGCAAATTCGTAAAGTCAATATTGACTTATTAACTACGTGCATAGGTGATATACTAAACATAATAGATACCCTTAAAAAGATTCATAGAAAACACCAACCTTACCTAACCTTGTTAGTATCTTAAGATAAGCATCTTATTGCTTCGTAATTACAATTATTACTTAACCTATACCTATTATAGGTTAGGTAATAATTGTAATTACGAAGCAATAAGATGCTTATCTTAACATACTAAGTAGGTTAGGTAAGGTCGGTGTTTTCTATGAATCTTTTTAAGGGTATCTATTATGTTAAGTATGTCACCTATGCACATATTTAATAAGTCAATATTG